TTTTTATGTTTACAACAACTCAAACCGCTTCTCTTTATATTATGAATACCTTTTTGAAGTTTAAATACAAATGTTGTGAAAAGTCTTATAACTAAGCTCAGATCAGATAAGTGTTCAACTCCTTTTCATGGGGCTCAGATCTCTTTTGAAAACCAGGACAACCTGTTACTTGGCTCTCTTCAATTCACCAGACTCCATTAACAAAAAAGATGGTTCTACCTCGCAGAAAACAGGAGTTATTTGTCTTCTATGTGTCAGACAGTTTGGGGGTTTTGTGTGTTATTTATATCGCGCTGGATCCAAAGTAACTTCTTTAAACACCCACAAACCCACTGAAGCAGCAGCAGACCAACAACTTCAGTTATCTGCAAGTGTCACGGCCTCTCTATGGGCGGCTGTGACTCAGCTGGTAGAGTCGGTCGTCTCTCAACTGGAAGGTCGAGGGTTCGATCCCTAGCTCCTGCAGCAACGTGTCCGATGTGTCCATGAGAAAGACATTTAACATCAAGTTGCTCTCTCTACTTTGTTGGTGGTGTATAAATGCCTATGAATAGGATTAGTTACTTCTGATGGTCACTTTACTCAGCAGCCTCTACCATCAGTGTGTGAGTGTGTGGGAGTGACCTGCAGTGTAAAAGCACTTTGAGTATTCAGAAGACTAGAAAAGCGCAATTCAACCATTTATGCCATATCCCAAGACAGAAATATCTCCTCTATACCATTTAGTGTTAAACTGCTGCCTAGTGACACGGAGTAGAAATGCAGCAGATTTGTGAATCATTGTGAACACAGGAGAGCGAACACCAGCTGGAGGAATTGCCATTCCAATTAGCATCAATCATTGTCTTTTACATGAGCGACACCTTAATGGATTCTGAACACACACCACGCTCTCTGGTAGAGTGTATGTCATGGAAATCGGCATTTTAAGATGTCAATGTCATTTCATTTCTGCACTCATCACTGTTATGCTCATTACAAGGCACACTGCGCTAAAAGCTGACAGCTTCATACTTTAACAGCGAGCTGTAATCAATATCACTCAGCGGCGTTTAAACCAATAGGAGGAGCTCACACATTTTAAAAGAGACATCCTGTTAATACCTCGTTTTCTCCCTCATGACTGCTGCTCATGTCCATCATCGTTTCATAAATGTGTTGCTGCTGCGGTTATTGGATATTTAATTGGATGCCTGGACAATACGAGGTGGACGGTGATGACATTAAAACACCATCAACCTTCCAAATGTAATCCATCCCAGCGGACATTTCTAATCAGAGTTAACATCCCCGGGTTTAATGGAAAACCGGCGCCATTTATCAGAAAGAAAAACAAAACTTTTACCTGTTAACTTTTTTTCCCACAGACTGTATAAAACATGGACGTCGTCTCAGTGACATCACTTTACAGCCAATGTCAGTTTGCAAAGTAATCAATAAAGTTCCAAAACTTTGTCAAACAAAAGCAGGTCAGCAGTTATTCTGCCATCAGTATGTTTAGCTTCCATTAGCAGGACAAGTAAGAAATACAGGAAGAGCCTCAAAAATAACTTTGTTGTAGTTCTTATGGTGCATTTAATTTGATCTCTGAAGTCGGAAATTCCAAGTTGCCAGTCTGTTACTTCATCAGGAACGCCCCCTTAAGTCAGAATGGCGACTCAGAAACTCAGAGGAACTTTAGTAGCCCGGGCTAAATTCCAACATGGCCGCTACACGCATCAACAGTGAAGTATAAGCTGCACATTAAAGTGTTTATTGGCAATGTAGTCCTTGTTAAGTGTGATTAAATCACACAGATTGTATTGTGGATATTTTGTCACGTTGCTTTCGCCCTCAAACTATCATGTGGTTTGTTATCTCCAGGTATTATCTAACAAAACAAAGGTCCTCCTGGAGGCGTCCATGTTGCTTGTCCGACTTGTTGCCAACTCAAAACTGGAAAGCAGTCAACTTGGGTGTGACGTCATTCCCAAATCTGACATCTGACTCTTGACATCTGACTTCCGAGGTAAATGGAGCGCACCATTGACTTTGGTTTGTTTTCGCCTCCATGCTACTTAATTGGCTTCATTGAGTCAAGTAACATTCGTAGCTTAACATGTGTGGCTTGAGCAAGAATTCTTTAGTTGTCTTTGTGTTTCGACATACAGTGAATCAAAATCATAAAAGTTCCACACATGAACTCTGTGTTTTTTTATTTCTCCTGCAGGTCTCTTGAGTTTTTATCATGGGTGTCACTGAGATTGTCTTGAGCTACAAACAGAGCTGATGAAGGCCTGACAGCTAAGCTATTTGTTCTACATGTGGCATTAAAGACCCTAAGTAACTGTGAGTTCTGACTTCTCTTAAAGGGAGGACATCCTTCAGTCTGAACTCGTGTTATACATGCACAGAGCTCACACTGAGCCCATCAAGGCTGCTCCTCTTTTCTCTGCAGTGATGGATGTCTGAACACTGCCGTTCATATTAATGCCACCGCAGCCGGATCAATCACCGTCCAGCAGCTGTGAACGCGGCTCACCAGCAGAGAGAGGAATCTGCCTCAAAGGATCGCAGATGAAAGTCAAATAAAAATTATGATTCATATAAAAATTCAATTTAATAAGCCCTTTGATCATGCTCATTGCACTCCTTCAAATCAATGATTTTAGGCTTTTGTCCAGCAAGCGCCTTGTTTTCACTCCTGTTTGATCACAGGTTTGGAGGCAATCAGTGGGTCTGTGTGAGTGTGTGTGTGTGTGTTTGTGTGTGTCTGGTCTGGAGAAGAAAATAATGTGATGGAAGTTTACGCTTTAGCTCCACAGCCTGAACTCAGCAGCTATTTTTTATTTTATTTATGTTTCCAGGGAGGGGGGGAGTCAGAAAATGCAGCCGGCTTCTCTGCAACACCTTGCTGACATCCTTACATTCACTCACATCACCACTAAAAACTGCAGGAGATTTATTGTGCACACAATAAAGGGGTATTTGGTAATATTGCAAAGGCCAAAAGTGCATCTATTGCATTTTCAAGTGAAACAAAATGGAATTCCTGCAGATTCATTTTTATATAAGACGTCCTGTATATTTCATCTAAAGTTATAAGGAAATAAAAAGTGAAATGAAGATCTTCAATATTGTATAATATGATGATTCACAAAGCTTCATTGATTTATTCTGAACCTGTAAACAACCTACTTCCCTTTGTAGTGTTGATAAAAGACAGAATAGAAGTCTAAAATATTAAAGGTCACATATTCTGTAAAATCCACTTCCTCATGTTTCTCTGACTCTAATATGTGTCTCTAGTCCGTCTACAAACCCCCCAATGATGAGAAAAGTCCATCCTCTCCGTCTTCTGTGTGCTCAAACAGGCCGTTTGGCGATTTTCCCTTCATGACATCACAAAGAGCAGTAGCCCCTCCCCCAGGTGGGTGACACTCCCACAGCTAGGTGTTTGTTCTGCCCTCTGAGTCTGCCTTCTCACCGTAAACAATAGGACATGGAGCGAGAAAGCACAGAGACACCAAAGCCCTTCCAGAGAGGGGGCGTGGTCAGACACAGCTCATTTACATATTTAAAGGTACAGACACAGAAACGGCCTGTTCTGAGCAGGGCTGAAATAGACCTTTTTCACCTCAGGAAACAATTAATATGTTGTTTTTTTTTCAACTTTAGTTATGAAAAAACGTTTGAATATAATGGAACTATAAATTCTCACTCAGAGAAAGGACTTTGAACTGCAGAAAAAAGATCTAAACTGATTCTAAGCGTAGTCTTCCTCTCAGCAGCGAAGCAGGAAGTCATCTTGGTAGATTTCTCATGGCGCTGTGTAATCTGGGTAAGCTTCAGGACCCCTCTGGTGACATTAACACATCATTTGCATTTCCCAGACTCCCTCTGGGGAAAAAAGCTCATCTCCTGAACAAACAGGAATACCATTATCACTGCCAGCCGCCGGCCCAATCAGAATGAGTTAAAGCCCGAGATGTCGATGGTTCTCTCGTATCAATTACAGAACCTCTCAAACTTCCACCGAGCTGGTGAGACGTGGGAACGCATCACAGAAATACAAACGGGAGAGATGGGACACAAAGTGGGAGGTTTGATGCCTCTGCGCTATAACAAAATTATCTTACCCCTCATTACTCAAACGTATGGGCGCCGTCTCCGATCCATACTTACAATCAATGCTCATTTGGTTGGTAATCATTCTGTTTGTTTGCGTTCTGCAAAGACCTTATTACCAGCACTGCCTCGGAACAGAACTTCATGACGATTACCCTCATTGGTTGCTCACAAACATCAGCGAGAATCTTATTATAAAACAACATTATTTTCCAATCACCCCCATGATAAGGACGCTTAATATGAGGAACCATCACTTGTGAGTAATGCATTTCAAAAAGGTGAACAAGTTGTGCAAATCCACAGCCGATCAGATGCAGACATAACATGAAGGTTACATGAACAGTGAAGTCGAGCTGCAGTTTTTAAGACCCTGACACACCAAGGAGATCGTCGGCCTGAGGAGAGCGGTCATCGCCCTAGTTTTTGTGTCCGGCTCCGTCACTACCCGTCTGGAATCTCTCTGATTGGCTGTTGGGAGGTTTCATTTCTCTCCAGCTCTCCTCTCAGGTTCAGTAAAGCCTCTTGAGCATGTCTCTGTAGTATCCATGCTTTCACCCATTAGTGTGGTTTCTCCTTATTTGTCTCCTCCTCCTCTTCTTTTCTTTTTCCACTAAAAGACCAAGAGCTGACAACGCCAGCGCCATTTTCTACTTTTTATCAGACATTATTCTCCATTAGTAGACGACCTATAATACGAGTGATGAGCGACAGCGGGGTGAAAATGGTTTTCTCGTGTCATAAACAATGGACTACCGCCCCCTGCTGACATGGAGAGTTATTTCATCTCACGCATGAGCAGAACGTACGTGGTGGTTGGCCGTTGGCTGTAGTCTTTGCGGTGTGTTCAAGTGCAACCTTTTGGCCAAGACAAAAGGGGACGTGTTCTTTAC